TACCTATGAAATAAAGATTAGTTGACTTTGACTTAAACCATTACTAACTTTGCAGACTCGCCCACAAGATCGTGCAAGCTTACAAACTATGCTCCGAACAGCTGTCCTCACAGAATCACTACGACTACGGCATGCGAGCCGTCAAGTCTGTGCTGCTGGCGTCTGGAGCTCTCAAGAAGAACTATCCTGAAAAAGATGAAGCGCAATTGGTGTTGAGGGCCATTATTGACGTCAATATGCCAAAGTTCTTGTCACAGGTTAGGATTTGCCAAAAATATATCCGTCTCGAAAAAGGCACATCTTAACATATTTGGCCTAATGGACTAGCCGAATATAGAATAATGAATCACAATTCGGCAGAAAACTTAATACCTAAAAAATGAGGAAGAAATAAAGAAAAACAGCAAATTATCATGTAACTCTCCTAAAGCGCAGTTTTTAGATTTTTTATCTAAAAGTCCAAAGGGAATATAACTCAGTTATTTTTCTAAAGATAACGAACGCATCATTGGCGAAGCATACCAATCAGAGAGCAGTGCCTCTACCATGAGTTTACTTTGACAGCTCTCGCTAGCGACAGCGTAAAATATTTGTACGCAAAATGTTACTTCTTCTCGTAACCGCTAGGGGCGCTGTATAATTTACCATATAAAATTGTGAAGCAATTTACGCCGTCGCTAGCGACAACTGTCACAGTAAACTCATGGTAGAGGCACAGGGTGCTCGATGTTTACCTTTCGTTTAATTTTCGTCCGTGCGTTAATCAGGCCGAATGTTCGGCTATACGGCCATGTTCCTGGCCGAGTATTTTGTGTTCAACCTGTACTATTCCTTGCAACACTAATAATCACCGCGTGGTGACTCCATTAAACATTGTCATGCTATTCTTCTCAGCTCGAGCATTCCCAAGATTCAGACCGGGTCAAGATTCAGGCGTAATCATTCGTCCAATCTTGACAATTCTTATCCAGTGGTGACTGGTTGATTGAAACCATTTCCCTTTTTATGTCCGGGAAATCATCTCGTTTATTGTGCACCAACAACGCAAATGATTTCTAACAATTTCTCTGTCATTTTTGCCAGGACGTTCCCTTATTTATGGGTATCTATTCGGATCTTTTCCCCGGCGTAGAGATCCCTATTCCGGATCGAGACGAACTCCTCAAGTGTATCAAGAAAGATCTCGACAAGCGCAATCTTCAGAAGACGGAGTGGTATCTTGAGAAAATTATTCAGGCACGTACCTATACGAATACTGTACGGTGGCTGACTATAAGAAAACTTTAGGGGCTTATTATTCGATCATTTTAATAATCAGCCTTGCAATATTCTTTTCATTACATCAGATTAATGTTGGAAAAAAACTCGAGTCCAGGAGTTGATATTTTAGGACTCAACTCCAATTCACAAGACTTGCCACATAAAGACAGAGACTCACTATCTCGCTAGTCAACAAGTTTACAAATAGGCTCGAGTTCGACATTAGTGCACGAGTCTATTTGATTACCTATCAGTAGTCCGAAATGACATTTTCCAGAAATAACGTTTGGTCGACATTTCATAACCTCGAAAGTAATTTTGAGAGGAAAATGTTCTTTTAAAACTAACTTTACCTAACCTAATCAAACCTAATCGTGTCTTTGTAATAAACATTCAACATATCCTGAAAGAACAACTGTTTCGTTATAATTCGGTTTTCGGTGTAACAAAAATTCGAACAAACGTTATTACGGAAAAAAAATACGACTTTGTGATAGATTACCGTCTATTTATGTAACGAGTCGCGCTCGAGTCTGTTTATGTATGTACTGAGCGGTGTGTTAAACTTCTTTTTTTAACCGACATCAAAAAAAAAAAGATTTGAGTCTTAATTCGACTGTATGTTTTTTTATGTTTGTTACGCAATTAAGAAAAAAGGTACCTCCGTATTGTTCCCTTTTTAATTTGAAGAAAATGTTCCACCTCTAAGGATGGCACTTTCCGGTAACCCATTTCAATAAAGCTTGGCAAATAAATGTAATTCCACGTACTTTTAATTTTTTTTTATTAAAAAGTAATTGTATTTTGCAGAGAAGAATTCGACTCGAGTTTTGGTTGTGTTCAAAACTCAGGTTAGCTTTACGGCTTGAGTTCGACTAGAGTTGTAGGGTCGTATTTTAGAACTCTACTCAATGCTCAAATCAGGATTTGAGTACGATTTAAAGCACTCGAAATCATACTCAAATCCCTGCCATTAGGGTCGTATTTCCAGTGATTGAAATCTTACTCAGATCCTGACTTGAGCATTGAGTATAGTTCTAGAATACGACCCTTAGAGTCGAGTCGGTGCTCCGATGACTCCCCTTGGACCCGTGAGCGTTTTAAGCCACCAACCCATGCAAAATTTGTTTCGAGTTTATAAATGTAGACTCCCGGACTTGGTCTTAGAGCACAAAGTTACTGAAATGTAAGAAATGGATTGTATATACAAATTTTGCAGCCTGATTTCACATCACATTTCTTCATATTCACACACTAGCTTTTACTTATTCTTAAAGTAACGTATCCAAATGAGCACCCTTGATAAGAAATTTAAAATAAATAGAAAGTTTTGCTATCTCCTGAACAATCACTCTTTATAAGATATGAGTTTGAGAAAGTAAGTCATCGACATCAAATATTTTGTAGTTCACCCGATCTCATCATCTGAGCACTATTTTAGGTCTACGAAATGATGCTCGTCCGGCACGGGTTCATGATAGTGGGCCCGCCGATGGGGGGCAAGACGCAGGCCTACCAATGTCTAGCGGACTCCCTCCGTGCACTACAGCTGATGAAACCTCCGCCAAGGCATAAGGAGTTCGGAGCCATTTATCGGATAATCAACCCGAAGGCGATTACCATGGGACAGCTTTATGGATGCTTTGATCCGGCATCTCACGAATGGTGAGTTTCAATAGCTTTTTAATTATGGTCATCGGCCAATAGACAGGTGGTCCACCTTACAGTGCTGTTATAAACGCTGACTGTAGATATATATGTCCGATGAGATAATGCATTGTTGGCGGTGCAACACAAGAACTTGGCTCCTCACCTGCGATAGTGCTGGTATTCCTGACGCTCTCGTCTGGAAAATAGGAACGCATTGTTGCTGTACGGTAGAAATAGGTCGTCATCGTCATGAATCTACCATGCCAACCTAATGCGTGTTCTTTCGCCGTTAACCAGGGGTACTGGTATTGCCGGGCGGCGTCGTGGTGAATGTTCACTGATCCCACGGCGCCGACTCAACCGGCGAGAGGGAAACCCGGGGGGGTTTTAGTGGGGTAGGCCCTCCAGCCTGGAGGGAGAGTCCCCACATAACCCCTGAGTCTCCCTGGGCTCAGGGGTATCCATACAGACTTCCCCCGTCAAAAAAAAAAAAGGGTACTGATATTAAATATTGACCAAATTGTCTGTGCTTGTGCAATAAACAGTTTTTTTCTTATAAATGTGCGTAACTTGGAAATCAGATATTAAGAGAGATGTAACTGTCCTCGTGCTGGGCCACTACCGTTCTAAGAAACAGGACTGTCGGTGATATTTACTCCGCGAAAGCACCAAATTCCGATGTACGTTTTCTATAACATCTTTCATTGAGAAGAATTCTTATTATAAATTCTTTATTGCACAACGATATTAAAACACATGCAACAAAGTACATTAAACAAAGGTGAGCTTATCTCTAGAAGAGACCTGTTCCAGGCAATCCCAACGGTAATAGAGTGATACGGAAACGTAGATAATGATGAAGCTGGGGGTAGTGTAGCATTTTGTAAAGAAGACAACCGATGTACAAATCTCTGTAAAATCGGATTGGGAACCAGTTTAAGTATTTATTTGCTCAATTCCGTGTACAGGTACGACGGCGTACTCGCTATAGCGTTCCGAGAATATGCGATGTCGATTACGCGCGACCGCAAATGGATCCTGTTCGACGGGCCCGTCGACGCCGTTTGGATCGAAAACATGAACACTGTGCTCGACGATAACAAGAAACTGTGTCTTATGAGTGGAGAGATTATTCAGGTGAGGTCGACGATTTTTAGAAGTGATAACAAAGTTCGTATTTAAGGAGTGGCGATTTATTTAAAAAATCGCAAACAAAGAAAAATAATCACAAACTAAAGACAGAACACCTCTTCTGTAGACAATCAAATCAACTGTTTGTGTTAACTACGCAGTGTTACAATTTTAATTATTCTTTACAATTATTATTCTAATTACTAATATCGTTACAATTTTTATTATAAAAATGAATCTTCATGCGTGAACAGCTACCCTTAGAAGTGGATGATTTTCTTCAAAATGAAATGAGACCACTTTGGAGGTACCCCTTTTCCAACAAAATAAGAATCATAAAAATCGGTTCACAAATTAATTTTAAGTTCAATATTAATTATTAACAATCATAATTAACGAAACATATCACCTACATTATTTACAATGCAACGAATATTAACTGCATGAATAAAATATTCCACAGAAGCCATTGGCTTACAATTATATGGACGTCGGGTCCGCGCTAAAAAGTGTCCGAACTTATAGGGCGTTAATATCGTATATAGAGCGTCATTCACGCTTTAGTCTTCGTTTGTTCGACTGACAGCGAAGCAAGCAAAATTAGACAGTACTGCGATGACATTACAATTTAAATTCGACGTTTTAGCTCTTTCACATTCCTTTACATGTCACTACGTTTAAATAGGTTGACTTGGGACATTTTTTTCGTGGTTTTTGTATTAAACCCGTCGTCCATTTATTTGTAAGTCAATGGAGTCAAAAGGAGTATTTCATATTGTGTGACGTGTAACTGAGTGTAAACGGAATTCCTATCAGATTCATCGGTAGATTAAATTTCTGAAACATTCCTACCTTACAAGATGCGCAAGCGCGTAAACGCGTAACATGATACTAAATTAGACAGTAAGATTTCCGTGTTTGCTTATAGATGACGAATAAAATGAACCTGATCTTTGAACCTGCGGATTTGGAGTTTGCGTCTCCCGCGACGGTGTCCCGTTGCGGAATGATATACATGGAGCCTGAACAACTTGGTAATTTTTTATTACGCTCTTATCAATTATGCAAAGCATTAACCGTTACGTGGACCACGACCGGAAAGGTCGAAATCCCGATGAGCTCGTGGCAGCGATCGCACATTCCATTCTGGAGGTGTAAGTTATGACGCACACTCAACATAGCCCCGCAGTAGGGAAACCTTGTATTGCGGGTGAAATAGACCACAAATTACACCCAAACTCACGAGAAAAATAAATATATGCCATACACATATTTCTCCCGGTCTGAGAATCAAACCTAGGAACATTGCGTCGCAGTCCATCATGGCAACCGTTCGAACACGGAGACAGTTAATGCTTAGCTAGATATAGCTAGTATTCCCGTAATCTTTTTAAATGTCTTTGATGATAGAAGATTAATAGAAGAGAAGAAGGAGATAAGTGTTTGCCCTGCTTGCACATAACGGGCTAATAAAATTAATGTTTTACAGGATGGCGCGCATTTTTATCCTCCTACAACGTCTTCCTTAGCAAGAAGCTGATCCCTGAACAGTACGAACTGATCCAGGAGCTGATCGAATGGCTCGTCCCCGCTATGTTCGAGTTCATGTTGATCAAGTGCCACCACTTTGTTGTCGTTGGAGAAATTCACCAATTCTTTGTAAGTTACTGATAACCGAGGTGGTATAAATTTCTATCCCAGATTTGATTACTTTTAAACTCAATAGTTCAATGCTTCACCTGTACCAAGCACAAGTCCGGTCGTGTATGGAGTACTGCTGCCACTTATGGGATGGCTTTGCTAAATACCAACTGGCTACCTTGTATTCAATCGACAATCGTGCCAAGAGGCTTATAGGCGACTCGGAATTAGTGGAAGCGAAGCTGCAGAGGCTTGAACACCGCCGTAAACTTGTATATATATTATTGTATACATCACGGAAAGTGTGCGATGGAATTGCATAATTTGATTCTGCCTTCCCCTTTCCTTAATGGAGGGACTAGACGTGGGCTGGGATTCCACCAATACGTTGTGGATATCCACAGCACAACCCAGCATTCTCACAAAGAGTTTCGCTTCAACATTTATATAGCGAGCGGCTAGAGAGTGGAATTCCCTACCTGCGGACTTATTCTTCGAACGCTATAACTTGGACCTCTTCAAGGCGAGAGTGAATTTTTTAAATATGTCTCTTTAAGTACTACAGAGAACATGTTAAATTTTGATTTTCAACCTAACCCCTATAGTTATTAAATTCTTTTTTTTCATAACATCAAGTGACGGGACGAACAATTCGTGCATCTGCTGGTAAGCTACACGCCTGTCCATAACAGTTACAGTGCCACTCATACTTTAAATCGCAAAGATCTGAGGGGCACTGCCTCTGCGCCCGTCACCCTGAGACATAAGTTGATATGTCCCATGTGCCTATAATTTCACCAGCACCTTTACCCTTCAAATCCAGGACGCAGTAATGCTGACATTACTGCTTGGCGGCAGAAATAGGTAAGGCAGTACTTCCCTAGACGAACTCTTTCACAAGGAGTACTACTTCTACTAAATTCACATTTATCCCAACACATATAATTTAGAGGTTTAACGCGACTCCTGCTACCCCGTCTGTTGTCATCGGGCGCTTGTCAACGTCGGATCTGTGTAAAATTTTCTCCGCCTGTTCTTATTTATTCATATTAATTTTCTGCGCGCGGATTGCGAGCGGCTCCCCATATCTCACCTAAAATCTAGGCTCTACTAATACATCGCCTTAAGTTGGATGTGTCTATCCGGACTTAAGTATCGAAAGGGTAAATATTGTTTACAGTCATTCTCTCGCCTGTTCACGTGTCTACTTGAAAGCGAAGCACAGTTCAGTACGATTTGGCTGCAAAACACTTTTGTCTTCTGCTTGCTGTGGGGCCTTTGTGCAACGGTTAATGGTAATCATTTTATTGTCTAATATCATATATCATGTAAATCGAGTATATAAACTGAAATAGAGACGAAATGTCGTTTAATTTGTTTGAAAACTATTCTGCCAAATCATTACGGTGACAACTGCGCTCCGGTTGGCCAGCCCGAATCGGAAACAGTGACGGGTGTCGTCAATTGTTTCAATTCAAATTGGCCAGTATAAGTTGAGCTTTGCTATAATGGCTGAAAATTGAAAAATAACATAATTTAATATTTCATTACCGATGAAAAATGATTCCGTTTGTTTTGTAATTAGATATTTTACTCTTTTTCCCACACCACCGAATGGAACAGCTTTCCATAGTTAGAGATATTATCTTTATTACAATAAATACAGAATATTTTTATAATATCATAAACCAGGTCAGTTGTTGGCGCTCGCTGTACTATTTCAGCTTTCTAATTCGTGATTACAACGCAAACTATTTGATATTTAAAAGTGATATAAGACCCATTTGTCTGATGAGTTGCCAGGGATGAATGGCCCATATTTCATGTCTATTACTGGTTATATACACGGTGATCTTATATGCTAATTGTGAACGAAAACATTGCGTTGATTCCTGCACGTCGAAGAATGATCCAACCCTTGAAAAACACGCATTTTGCAAGCATGGCAGATTATGGCCTAAACACTGTCTTTAAAAGAGACCCGCCTATAAATGGGACGATCTTGGATATATTGGTTAATAATGACGGTGAATCATATTACAAAGGAGGGCAATTTAATGCGCCAGGTGTTTTTAAACTCAGTCTTGATATCCAGACATTTGGATTTGAGTGTTAAGCGCTACGCTATTTTTTAGAGTACCTCGAAGAAATGCTTCCTGTGCGTACCGATTACAAAGTAATAAAATCTACCCACGATTTCGGCATTTTCCTATTAGTAGATGGACGGCATAAATTTATAGAGCTAATATGTATGGAAATGTGGGAAAAAGACCTCGACGTATATATCTCGGTCAAATTTGGGACGTCCTTGAAAAATACCAGGTTAAAAGTACCAAGAATAAACGGGCCTGTATAAAGAGACTGATGCTAGAAGAGGTTTGTTAAGGTAGAGGAGGCAAAAGAGGTCTGTGAAGAGAGTGGCGAGTTTTGGTTTGTGGTCTCTGCCGACACCAGCGGGAGACAAGTATAGTCGTACATACGTGCAGTAACTTGGGTCAGTCGCGAAATTATTCCTGACCTTCTTTTACCTCAAACATCAAAAGTAATTTTGTAATACTTCTTTTAACATATGCATACACATTTCAGGGGACAGTCGTAAAAACTTCGATGTATTCTTTCGCAAGCTTTTGGACGGCGCTAACGCTCAATATCCGAAGCCAAAGTCCTTTAAATTGACCAAGAATCAACTTTTCCAAGACAAAGATACCGTCTTCGATTATGTATATGACAAGCGCAACGGTGGAACTTGGATATCTTGGCAGGAGTTGGAAAAGGAAGTTGTTTTGACGGCAAACGTTAAGGTAAACTACAGTTTATAAAATCTATAACAGTAACGTGTATCGGTTGAATCCTTGATCCCAAATCAGCTACGCTTTTTGCCCAATAAGAATAAAATTACTTGACGTTTTGGTTTTTTGGGGCGTCTCACGTCCAACACAAAAAGCGGTACTCGATATTCCACATATCAGTCGCTGGTTCTTGACTGTGCCGTTGCCGGGAAATACCGACTCATTTAGAAATTCAAAATTTATCTTCTGGGTCGTGAGAGAGACGATTATTTACAATTTGCTTAATTTTAGTAATTATATGCCACACGAATTCCCCGGTGTCAAATTAGGTATTCCTTATATCCTAGACCATTCAGATCAGGTCCAAATTGAGGAAAGTTTGTTTCCAAATTGATGAAACCTGGGCTCTTCTCCCGTTCACCGTCCGCCACACATCGGAAACAATTACTGTTAAATAAGTAATGCTCGATCAAATAAAAAAAAAACAAAGTCAAGTATGAAGCTTCATGCGCCTCTTCTAGTTTGGTCGCATATTATTTATTTGACAGTAATTGTTTCGGTACGGTTGTAGGGCGGAGAATGCAAGTAGACCCCCCGTATGTTGAAAAAGTTTTACAACGCTTTGACAACGTGTGAAAAACCCACTTTGGTCTAGCGTGGAATATGACTCAAACCCTTTATTTAGCGGAGATTTTTGTCCAGCACCGTATAAAGAGTTGTTGTTGATGTAATTCCCAGGTGAACGAAATTATAGTCCTCACCAACGAAAACGCGTGCCTCCGGTACTTCGTGTCCAAGATGGTTCGCTCAAAGATCCCCATTCTGATCGTGGGACCAACCGGCACGGGCAAGTCCTCGTTGGTGTTAAACTTCTTGCTCAGTCTACCGAAGGAGAAATATATAACCAATACTATTAACTTCTCTGCTAGAACTACTGCTAATCAGGTTAGTGGGTTTTATGAAGATATCCTCAAAGGAAAGTTTAAATGGTCACGTAGCTAGGGACACTATCGGATAAAAAAGTATCTTACTCCGCGATATTCATATAGTTTTTGGGAAATAACTCCACTAGTTTAGCTATAATTATTTATATATATAATTATTAATTATTTTCTTTGAGTTCGATCTTGCTATTAAAGCAAGATCGAACTCAAAGAAAAATTCTCTTCGACCCGGCAGGACTCGAAACTGCGACTACGTGATTCTGTCGCATACTCTTTACCAACCAACCTAAAGATCAAGTTGCCAAGTCACCGAAAATTCTTTTGTGTCTGTTATAGCTCTTCGTATTGAGTTTTTTCGGCTTTCGACGCCGTAAGCGCCATCTGTGAGAGATTTATGAAAATCCTCTCACTCAGAATGTCATTTAAACTCAATAGCTTGTGTATTAACTGCCTCAGTGGCCGAACGGTTACCATGCCGGACTGCCACCCAGAGGTCCCAGGTTCGATTCCCGGGTCGGAAGAAATATTTGTATGGCCTACATTTATTTCTCTCGTGAGTTTGGGTGTAATTTGTGGTTGTCTATGTGTGTGTCCATGGCACCCGCGACACAGGGTTTCCCTAGTGCGGGGCCATATTGAGTGTGTGCGTTATTATTATTAGCTGTAACTGTAACATTCTGCAACAAAATGTTGTTTCTGTTGAGTGCCATACTTAATTTCGACAAACACTATTTCGACTCGACAGTACTTCGACTACACATTAATTCGACGGAACACTATTTCAACAAAACACATGTTCGACAGGTCATTAGTCCGACAGAATACTGCTTCGACAACACAAACATTCGATAGCTCACTATTCCGACAGAACATGAAATATTTAATATAAATATTTGCTGTACTGAGAGACACTTAGGTACACTTAGGTACCACTTTATCTTTGAGCGGAATATCACATTAATGTAAATATGTCTGAGAAATAATGTATAACTAGTTAAGCAATTACTTGTCAATTTAAAGTTCTGTCGGAATAGTGACCTGTCGAATTCGTGTACTGTCGAAGAAGTTTTCTGTCACTGCAGTGACCTATCGAGTGTTTGTGTTCTCGAAGCAGTGTTCTGTCGGGATAGTGACCTGTCGAACATATGTTTCGTCGAAGTAGTGTTCCGTCGAATTAATATGTAGTCGAAGTACTGTCGAGTCGAAATATGTGTTTGTCGAAATTAAGTATGACACTCATTTCTGTTATCTCTGTTAACGCATTAAAAAACAAGTTTGACGGTTGCATACGATAGAGCGAATCAGACTAAAGTATCAATTTCAATACTGTAAGAAACAGACGTATCGGCGAAAGTTGCTTGTTTGTAATCAATAATAAATTCTCCAAAATAAATTCTACTGATTGTAAAATAAAGTTGACAAATGCTACGGCTTGATATACAGTTGTCAATCAAATTGTTTGAGAGTGACGATTCTGGCATTTATGTTTACAGACACAAGATATTATCATGTCAAAAGTGGACAGACGACGTAAAGGCGTATTTGGACCGTCCATGGGGAAAAAGGTAAAGATTAATCCTTAAGTTAAGCTATAAAAGCAGTCATTTATGTGGAAATTAGTTGAAGTTTATTTTTTCAAGGAATTCTCAATGAAGATTTTGATTCGATAAAGAAAGGTTATATCTTTAGGTGTCCACGGATCAACCAATTTATTTATTATTATTTATTATAAATTTATCTTTAATCGACTTCAAAAAAGGAGGAGGTTCTGAACGCGACTGTATTTTTTTTGTATATATGTACGCGATTTTGATGATTTTTTTTTTGTTGGAAAGAGGGTACCTCAGTGTTGGTCCTATTTAAACTTGAAGAAAATATTCCGACTGGCAAATTAGAGGACAAATCCGGTATCGCGCATTTTCCGGTAACCGATTTCAATAAAACTTGGCAAATTGATGTAATTCCACGAACGTTTGAGGTCTGTTTTTTAAGTAAAATAGTTGGTATTGGTATTGGTGCAACGGGCTAGTTTCCGCAACTCGACGTCGAGGCGCCTATTTTGCGTGTGGTGGGTGCAGGGTCCTACTCGTGCCACCCAAGCTCCTCCAGGAATCTCAGCAGACTCTTCGGTTTTCTGAAGATTTCGGGGAGCGACCTCGGCACTCCAAGGTACTTTGCCCTGTAGTTGGCCACACCGGAGCACTCTAGTAGGATGTGTGCGGCCGTTTCCTCCCCCTCCATGCACGCTCTGCATAGAGGGCTGTCCGTGATACCTAAATTGAAAAGGTGTTTATTGTATGGACCATGACCCGTTAGAGCGGCAGATAAAGTGCGCAGTTCTTGTCTTTCAAGTTGATTAATTTACGAGATAGACTGGCGTTGAGCGTTAGGAATGCTTCCCTGGCCTGTCTACAAACCGTAAGGGTTGTTCATATGTTATTATGAGAAGATTTTGTACCTTTGAGTATAGTTGTTCTTGACCATTGGTAGGGGAGGGACACTATGGGTTCCGGCCCTACAGCATCCGTCTCCGACCCTTTTCTAGCTAGTTCGTCTGCTGAAGCAAAATAGTTATAATTATTAATTTACAATAACAGTGTCGAGCGGTGGTAGCCCTGTGGGAACAGCAATCGTTCTGCTTCTCAATTAAAAGATCGACGGTGCGAATCCTGTGGCGTCTTGTACTTATGACTATAATTTCTGTGCTAGCGGTGGAGGTAAATTTCGCGATGAAACCTGTACATTGAAGAATGTTGTCTTCAAGTCTTGGAAGATGTGTGAAGTTACCCTCTTATTAAGACTCGATATTCCTCAGCTCGAATTCAAAATTTTCCCATACTAATACGGTTCATTTCGAAAAATGTGTATAGTATACTATACGTGTTCTATTTAGGTCAGTTATTGTAAAAAAAAAATCATTGGTATATATAAAGTACCTGCTGAATGCAGCAGTTTTCTTGTAAAATTTCGAGGTAAGTTTTTTCTATCTTTAAAATTTTTAGGAATCATGTTTTCGTACCATAGTGTAATAAAACTCTCACCGAATCACAACTGTTGTTTATTATCTCTTCGATTTTCACAAAAAAACTGCCCGCTCTTAAACTAAAACACTGCTTTTATATTATTCAGGACGACACCCACTCCACCATTTTGCTTCACAGTGTTGTCATCCTGAATAATAAATTCCGTATAACCATTACAAAGAAGAATATTTTCCTATAATTTGGTAACTAAATAAATTATCAATAAAAAATCTATACAAAATTATCTGAACCCTACAATATCTTCCATTTTACTATATATTTTTTCCAAAGTGATTGACTCAACACAATACTTACTGTCATATCCGCTCACGCGATACATGCAGCCGTAGACGCATACCACACCTTGAGGTGCCGGTGATGATTTTATACCGATTTATCGGATATCGAAGTTATAACAGGTAAAAGAACTAATATTAATTGCTATTTCGGTAACTACTCTAGCAAACCATAAAGTTTTTAATGCCTGGGTCTGTCATTTAAAAAAATAAACAACTTCAAAAATACGTCACGACAATCGTGTCTGTTATTGTTTGGGCTGGTAATTTCGGTGTTTATTTATTGAAAACATACCGTAAGTAGCGTTTTTAAAATTTACCCTGAATATAAATGTTTATAAACTATAATTTAAGGAGTAATTTCATGGTAAACGTTAGAACCACTCAAACGGAATATTATCATATTTATCCAAGTACACCAAAAATGTCATCAGTGCTTTTTAAGTGCAGGATTGGCGGTGTATTACTGCATTTTATTTGAGATGTTTTTGTTGGTAGTACGGAGGGTATTTATTTAGCAATGCAGAATAATAATTTTTATTTATAAAAACTTGTATTTAAACTGAATCCTTTTCTATTTTGCGAAACCAAGTAGCCGCCATTTTGCGGTAGGAGGAGCGCATCGCGTGAGCGGATATGGATTCAACCAAAGCTATTTGAGGTTGTATCGTATCTTAAAGGACACCCTAACCCAGCAGTGGGACGTACAGTAACGGGTTGACTCACTCCCCGGACAATCACACCCTTCAAAATTCATCAGTATTCAATTTTCAGTGCGTGCTATTCGTGGACGACTTAAGTATGCCTCAGAAGGAGACATACGGAGCACAGCCTCCCCTGGAGCTCTTGCGGCAATGGATCGACCACGGCCATTGGTACGACCTCAAGGAGATGGTCCGGCAGGAAGTTGTCGATGTGGTAAGTACATTTTGCAATGTTGATCGTGTTTGTTGAGAGCTGTACCACGTAATAGGCAAGAACGACACATTTCTTTTGTTTCTGTTGTATGACTAATCAATGCAATGATCTTATATACCCGAGACATGTTACGTTCATAGAAATTTGTAATCTGTTCCACAACCTATATAGAAAATCGTAATGGATGTCAGGTTCGTCATTTTGCTCGACGCTGATTGGTTGCAAGGTTTGTCATTTGACTGAGATTTGAATCTTCACTACGCAGACGCTAGTAACACATCTGCCCTTTTTGTATATAAGATAATTGAATCAATTTTTTTATTCTATCATTTTAAACAGTATTTCCTTTTATAAGATTTTAAATCTTTGTATATCATGTTGTATTTATTGACTTAATTCAAAACAAACCGTCTGATGATATGCACATTTCTGCAGCATTTTCCTTATTCCAACAGTTTCTGCAACTTTCCACTTCTTTTCTGACCATTCACGTGTTTCCAGCTCTTTGTATCAGCGATGCTCCCTCCCGGCGGAGGGTCAAACCTGATTTCGTCGCGCCTCACACGCCACACGCTACTCATAGGCCTGGACTCCTTCGAAGATAACACGCTTAACAAAATCTTTTGCACGATTATGGACTGGCATTTCTCTAAAGGATTCACTGACACTTTAGCCAGGATGTCCAAAGTATGTATATACAGACGTAAATAAACCTTAACAAATATCACTGGCATGTTAAAGTGACAGTTCATGTTATTGTTTGATGACGTCGACAAATGCAATCAAACTTCAAGTCCGCTTGCGCTTAAAAGTTTATTACAGAGTTTACAAAGTTACTTTGACCAGGACTCCTACAAACAACGTTTGTCTCACATAATAAAAATTCGATCGGGGCAGTCGCCATTCGAGGGAAAAGCAATAAAACTTAGACGAAAAAAAATAGAAACGCAAAAAAATTTAGATAAAATGGGTCAATGCCATCTAGTGGACTTTTAGGGAACTATAAAATAAACAAAATTGCTTAAAGAAGTCTATAATTTTCTTTTTTTTATGTTTTGTTTTGTCTATTTATTTTGTGCCACTTACATTACGTTACTAATAACTATACAAGTCCTAGTCAATAAAACAGTTGAGTCGATCACGTCACTAAAACTAGTTGCGGAGTTTCGATCATAGAACTTCGGACGGTGAATGTCTCTATGTAGTAACCGAAAGTGTGTGAGAAATTTAGTTTTCAAAGTATTAACTGCGACTTTTCGTCGTGTTGCTTATGCTAGTTAGCTTATAGTTGGCACACAGACGCATTTACAGTAAAAGTTACTTTCCTATACTCCCACAGGGCGAACCATTGGGTCAGCGGGGTTGTTAAAAATAATGAGTGTGAGCGGATAAGTTGGTACGGGCCGATCAAGGCAAACTTACCATTTTCATTCCCTTAACCGACAAGCGTGTCTGAAAGCACTAATGCGTGTTGTTGAGGCGTGTGTATGTATGCGTATGTAAAAAAAAAATTTAAGGGTTCGTCCAGTGAAGTACTGCCACATTACTGCGTTCCGGTTTTGAAGGGGAAGTGTGCTCGTGAAATTACAGTGACGGGCACTGTAGCATAACAGAGAGAGAACTTTGTGATTCAAAGCACTGAGTGGCACTGCAACTGTTATGGACAGGCGTGTCGCTTACCACCAGGCGCACGACTTGTTCGTCCCATCACTTGATCCTTTATAATCGCAAACAGTTTCAATAAAATCAAATTATCTAGGTATAGTCACTTTCCGAAAAAGTAACTGATCGCACATACACCGGTAGTTTATATGACGTATAGTATCTTTGTATATACCTTTCAGAACGTAGTAGCAGCCACTATGGAAGTGTACAAAAACGTAACGAACCAGTTCCTACCAACGCCAAGCAAGTGTCACTATCTGTTCAACCTGAGAGACTTCTCTCGAGTCATCAAAGGCGTGCTTCTGGTTCCATCCAGTCGTATGAAAGAACTTAGCAAACTTGTGATACTCTGGGTACACGAGACTTATCGAGTGTTCTACGATCGGTTGACTGACGAACCGGATAGGTAAGCTATATCAGGAAGTCGACTACGAAATACGATACTACGTAACTGCGTACGCAACGAAGCTCATACGTAGCACATATGTCAGTTTTACGATGAAAGTAATGTTAAAATTCCACGTTTCAGAATAAGAACTTATGTCAATTCTTTTTTTTTATATATAATAGACACGCGCTTGGCCACAATCGCGACGGTGTGAACGACAATGGGACGCGTTTGCCAAAAAATGCTCTCTAGCCTTGAACTAAATTGAAAAGTTCCTGCGCACCACTCCCCGAAACGTATCCGATAGAAAACCGCCAAGCAGGCTACTTTCCTGCGATGGTCGAGATTTTGTAGCTTCGACTCCACAAGAGAATTGTTGTTAATAAGTCTCTTTGCTTTTCGCTCCACCGAGTCCAAGGCAGCTAACTGGTATTGGGCAGAGCCGTCTCAAAGGTGGCAGCAGTACTCCATACACGATCGAACTTGTGCTTTATACAGATTTAAAAGCTGTTCAGGTGTGAAGACCGCTTGACCTTCTAAAGTATGCCTAGTTTTCTGGTAGCAGTTTTTGCCAAGCACTCGATGTATAGCCCAAAGTTGAGGTTGGATGATATGTCCAGACCAAGTAGCTCAAGGTGGTCACTTATCGACACGGATACATCTCAGAAATCAGGATCTTCGTGCGCGTTTCGTGATAGCCTACGGTCCGATACGAAGCTAAAACGATGATCGTGTGTCGTGTTTCGTGGTATACCTCCAGTCCATACACATACCTTCCAACATTCATCACAATCATCATCATATCAGCCAGAAGACGTCCACTGCTGAGCATAGGCCTCCCCCAAAGATTTCCAGACCAGCCGATCGGACGCGGCGTGCATCCATCGATTAGCCGCCGCCCTTGCCAGGTCATCCGCCCATCTAGTAGTAGTGGTCTCCAATCGAGAACCTTTGTGCCCCAACGGCCGTCAGTTCTACGAGCTATGTGCCCAGCCCTCTGCCACTTCAATTTGCAATCCTTTGAGCTATGTCGCTGACTTTTGTTCTTCTACGGATCTCCTCATTTCTAATGAACGTAAATTATTTTCAATTTAACTTTGAAATAAATGCTTAATTAACATTGGCTTGTATTTAAATGATCACTTTAAATTTTCTAAAGCAGCAGGCATAAAATCTAAACGGTCATTTTTTTAATGATTGATCCATTTTCTTTCTTTAATATAATTTGACCTGAAAACATTTTCACGCAAGCAAATTGGCTTCTGCTAACTAATCTAACCTACTGAATGGAGGGCGCAACCAAGATTTATTAGGAGATCAATATCAAAAGATATACTATACTGGTTATATTATAAATGACATCAATCGAGAAGAGGATCAGGAAATTATTTTTGATTTTTTTAAATTTTTCAGCCATCACTGTACAGTGGTACAACAGGACAGGCATGGGCAAAGGCCTCCCTACCCTTTTTCCACTCGCGATTTAACGCCACGCCATATCCATTTTTGAATACCAAACATTAATTTAGCATGCTTAAGAGGGAGCATGCCAAAAAAGTTTTGACATTGGCTCCGCCCAAATTTGTGAAACAAATATATGCCTGAAGTTCGCTTGACATGCGACAGGAGATGTTGAATTTTGCGTATTAAAAGTACCAAATTCGTTTTAGCGGAATAACTCTAAACTAAAGGGTTTAAAAAAAATCCGTAGTGACAGTTCTCGATCATGCATAAATATAATTATCTAATTTTTGTCCTAATAACATGTAGCATTTCGAGGATAAATCGAAAAAATGTGAAAATTAGAGGTCATTTCGTGATTTTTATCTATCGAGGAAACTTTATTGCTTTATGTTTCTGATTAATGTCTATGCCTGAATATATCGTGTGGTTACTCACACAATATTTTATTTTAAACTTTAAAGTGTTTATACCCCTCTAAAATCAAATCGAAGATTAGGAATTTTTCCTCTGCTCCCTCTTAAATATAAGAATAGTGTTACCTTGAGTGCAGTTCATTTATAATTTATCCGTAGATTAAGAATTATCGCATACGTGAGAATACGCGCGACACGATACGCGGCGAATTCACTCTTTTTGATCAAGCTCCAATGTATGTTATTAATGCACTAAATGCGTTTTAGGATAAAACTCTTCGACTTAGTATACAAGGCTGTGTACGCGAACTACCGCGTGCACTTTGACCACGTGATGACTGAGCTGGGCTATGTGCCCGAGGGCGAAAAACTGGCCAACAAACACGCCTGTAACATCTTCTTCGGCAACTATATGGAGCCTGATGCTGACCCCAAGATATACGACCAAGTAAGTTAAGCAGTAGGTATATTAAATAATTTAAGTGACTTAATGGAAAACATAACACCCGAAATAATAATAATTTTCAAACTTATCGTGCAAAATTTAATGGTACTTCACGTTAGATTGGACCCTTTTACAGAGTTCAACTTCAGGACTTAACATCTGTTTTTACAAATGTTTGCAATGCGCAGGTAACCGATCTCGACGACATGGGTGTGAAGATGGAGTACTACCTGGATGAGTACAACGTGGTTTCAAATTCGCCCATGTCGCTGGTTATGTTCCGATACGCTCTTGATCATATTTCGCGCTCTACACGCGTGTTACTACAGGATAACGGTGAGAAATTAGCGCACTTGAGCCCAAAATAGTTTAAACTTTAAAAAAGACAATACCAAACACACACCCATAGCTCCGCACTAGGATTTCCTGTGTCACACACATAGACAACCACATATTACACCCAAACGAGAGAAATATATATATATATTTTATTCATATAAAATGTAAGTGCGCATTTGACCTCCATCTCAACTGATGGAAAGTGACGAAGAGGTCGACTATGGAGCATGCACACCTAAATGATGCCTATTCACTCTCGCCTTGAAAAGGTCCAAGTTATAACGTTCAGTGAACAAGTCTGCAAGCAGGGAATTCCACATCACAGCCGTTCGCCATATAAATGTGGAAGCGTAACACTTCGCGCGAATCTTTGGAATATCCACAACATAGGGGTGGAACCCAAACCTACCTAGTCCCCCGGTCATGGAAAGGGGAAGGCGGAATTAAATCATGTAATTACATCGCACACTCTCCGTCATATATCCTATAAAATACCGATTAGCAGGCAACATTATGGCGGTATTTTAAATAAATATAGGCCACACAAATATTTTACCCGAGAATCGAACCCGGTACCTCTGCGTGGCAGATCAGCACAGTAACCGTTCGGCCATGGAGGGAGTTAAAACCTGAAAACTTAAGCCCAGAAAGCTACGATTTGCAGAATTTCCTTTTGACGGTAACGGTCAGATTCGCTGACTGTGTTTCCGTCCGCCATCTTGAAAGACATTGTCACGGGCGACGAGACAGGCGAGATTTGACATTATCAGCGTTAATGTATTTTTTTATAATAACAAGTGACAGGACGAACAAGTCGTGCACCTGGTGTTAAGTAACACGCCTGTCCATTACAGTGACACACAGCCGCAAAGAATTCAGGGGCATTGCCACTGCGCCTGTCACACTGAGACATAAGTTGACAAGTCCCATGTGCCTGTAATTTCACCAGCCCCTTATCCTACAAAACCGGCAGGCATGAAAGCTTGCTTGGCGGCAGAAATGGGTAAGGTGGTAATATTTAAAAAATTATATGTTCTTTCCCGCGTTCCTCTAACTGAGAAACAGGATTGGTGAAATGTGTGCCCCACATCAATGGCAAGCTTTTTTATGCTGTCGATACTTTTTTATTTTAGCACTATATTGGCCCTGAATAGTACGTTGCTACCTTGACTGCACTGGCCGCGTAGACACCTTCCCTCGTACAGGTATTAGGACACAAGGAGCACAACAGTAAGTGCTGCATTTACCGTGCTGGGACATCGCAGTCACATTGTGTTAGACTAGCATCCCTGAAACTCCATTTACACATCGTATCTCTGCAGCGTCCTGGGTGCGGAGTCGATTTAAGGACTTCCACACGGGCCACCACAGATCGCAACCTGGCGGTAGTTACTCTTGAGGTATGATGAAACCAGGTGGGGGTTTCTGATTCCACAGTGACAGTTGGATCGTCACTCGTAGCCTTTGTGGTGCGCAGGAGACTTTTACGGCTTTTGAGACGAACTCGGGGAACTTGGTAGCTATATAAAGAGTGTCGACTGTCACTCTCTTGTTTATGCTTCTCCGCGGAGTGGTCGATGCACTCCGGTGACTGTAGTTTTCAATAAAACTACTCTAGTCAGCCACCGGTAGCTGTAAAGGTACCTTGTTGAGTGAAGAAAAACTTTCATAGATTTCTCACAGATGGCGCTACGGCAAAAAAATCGTTAAAAACCAAAAACAATGATCTGCAACAAGCACATAGAAAGATTCGTAAGGTCTGCTGGTTCGTTCCGTAGCTCAGTTATCTTTAATAACTGAGCTCAGTCGTCAGGCACGGTATGCTGAAGACGCTGGTTCGAACGCAGCCGGATTGAAGGAATTTTTGTTAGCGTTCGATCTTTGTATTAATAATTAAAACCACGAGTGTACATGGTTGCTTCACAGGTAATTTGCTGTTAGTCGGAGTCGGCGGCAGTGGACGAAGCAGTGCGGTCAAACTCGCTGCTAGTATTCTAGAAATGAACGTCATACAGGTGTGCAGATAATCTGAATCAATACAGTCTAGCGCTTGCCTTGAGATTAACGTGAACTTTCTTGTTGCCAGCGTAATATTGCAGCATCGCAAACTTAATTTTTAACCGACTTCAAAAAACCTCAGTAGTGTTACCTCAGTAGTGGTCCCATTTAAATTTGAAATAAATATTCTAGTGAAAAGTGGAAAATTTGGGTTTTATTGAATTTCATCCACTTTCCGTTAACCGATTTTAATATAAAGTGTTTTTTTTTAACAGGGACAGTATGGGAAACCCAAAACCATATGAGATACAGGGATCCAGAATAAAAAAATAAATTACTCAATTTTATTCATTTTATTTAATATTGTTTCCAACCGGATGGGTCGTACAAAGAAACTTATCAAAATATATTCTAAACACTTTAATCTTGAGCTTGTACACACAACATACAGTGAAAATGAATTATTTTTACTTAAGACAAACGAGAGCGTGTGCACTGACGTCACTGGGAAGTATGGCGGTCGGGCGCCCGCGCCTCTCATTCCTCCCGTGATGTGTCGCGGGCGTTAACAACATTTTTTATTAAGTTTGACCAAGACCGTCTTCTGCTGTCCCAGTTTTTTCTTCCAATACAATGAAATCAAGTCGATCAGCAGTAAAAAAATAATGAATTTTATTCATTGTTATGAACAAATCTCGCTTGACCAAAAAATGTACTATGCCAAAATTATTTTGACAAAAAAAGACATAATGGTTCCTAAAACAGTTTTCCTGTATCTTCTATGGTTTCGGGTTTCCACATACTGTACCAGTTAAAAAAAACGGTATAAAACTTGGCAAATAGATGTAATTCTAAATAAACTTTTTGAGGTCGGTTTTTTTTTACTAAAAAAGTTATGTTTATTGCCAGTGTGTAAAACTGAATCCCGTGTCAGAAAGTACATATGCTGACGGGGGTTTTGTTGGATAGAATAGATTAGAAATGTCATATCGAGCTAATAACAAAAATGTATTTTCGTAGATAGAGATATCGCGAGTATACGGCCAGAATGAATGGCGAGATGATATTCGTAAGCTCTTGATGAAAGCTGGTATCATCGGGAAGCCCATCGTCTTCCTTTTCGCAGATAACCAGGTCAGTTTAAAATGTTGGTGGTTTTTATGGAATACTGAATACTGTATCAATTTATATATGTAACACCTACTGATCAAACTGAACTTCCTCGAAATTTGTCGAAAACATGTCGGTCAATACTTGCTTACTTTAGGTCAGTGTGGTTTTTATTTTTATTGAAAATTAGGTGCGCATTTGACCTCCATCTCACCTGATGGAAAGTGACGATGAGGTCGATGGAGCATGCACACCTTAATAATCACTCTTGCCTTAAAAAGGCCCAAGTTCAGGGAACAAGTCAGTGTCACCGTTCGCCATGTAAATGTAAAAGCGAAACGCTTCTGCGAATCCTTGGAATATCCCCACCACTTTTGGTGGAACCCCAGCCTACGTTTAGACCCCGCGATGATGGAACGGGGAAGACGGAATAATATGATATACTAATACCCTTGAAAACGCAAATGAGTAGCGGTATAAAGTATATGGATTTATACAATATTATCCCATTTATTTAGATTCAATACGAAGGCATGGTGGAAGACATCAACATGCTACTGAACACGGGTGACATCCCAAACCTGTATGGAATGGACGAGAAAGTTGAAATCCTCGATAAGATGCAGAATGCTGTTCGTGAAGCTGTAAGTAAACTGTGAGGATTATATGTATAAGGATTGACCCAGAAAAAATAAACCTATTTGGAGTTTTTTACTATCTATGTATGATGTAAACGAACGTCTGCTAGGGACATTTTTAACCAATCATCTTTCATTAGTTTCTAATAGTCAAGAGATGGGACGAATATGTCGTGCACCTGGTTTAAATCGCAAAGATCTGAGGGGCACTGCCACTGTGCCAGTCACCTTGAGTCGTAGGTTGACTAGCCCCATGTACTTTTAATTTCACCAGCACACTTATCCTTCAAAACGCAGTAATGTTCACAAAAACGAAAGTAAAAAATAAATTTGCAACTCCGCGAACCCAGTGACAGTTAAATCGTGCAAAATAGCTGTGCTTGTGTTGAATATTTTTTCATGCATTTAATTTTCCACCCTCGCATAAAATTATTAAAATAAATTACACAAGCGCAACTGCCTCCGTGGCCGAACGGTTACCATGCCGGACTGCCACGCAGAGGTCCCAGGTTCGATTCCCGGGCCGGGAGAAATAGTTGTATGGCCTACAATTGTTTCTCACGTGAGTTTGGGTGTAATTTGTGGTTGGCTATATGTGTGTCCATGGCACCCGCGACACAGGGTTTCCCTAGTGCGGGGCTATGTTGAGTGTGTGCGTTATTTATTTATTTAACTACAGTCACTGACGCCACCACCAAAAATATACCCGACACGTGTGTCACCTCTATGAGGCGTCCTCAGAGATTGTTGATTGTTCGACGCTCGGCTGAAGTTCGGATATATTTTTGGTGATGGTATTTATTACTGTAGTTGTGGTTGTTTTATTTATTTTATGAATTTTAATATTTTGCACGGTTTAACCTTCACCGGGTTCGCGGAGTAGCAAATTAATTTACTTCCATTTTTATTAACATGGACGTCCGCAAAGTAACGCCAGAATCTATTAATTGCTCACATTACTGCGTGACGGCAGAAATAGTTAAGATGGCAGTTGGGCAAACTCTTTCACAAGGATCTTTTTGATAGTATCAAGTGGCGGGACGAACAAGTCGTGCGCCTGATGGTAAGCTACACGCCTGGCCATAACAGTTGCAGTGCCACTCAGAGCTTTAAATCGCAAAGATCTGAGGGGCACTGCGACTACGCCCGTCACTCTGAGACATAAGTTGATAAGTTGAGTAATTGACTTCAATAATTTATAATTTAGGTCATTAAGCAGATCACAAGCGTGCCAAAACTATATTAGTAATAGGAAATGAAACTATTTTTCCGGATTTAAATCGCGTATATTTATTTTTTCAAACAAACCGACATTTCGGGCCCTTTACAGGTCCCATGGTCACGGTTGACTGAGGTGGTACAGTCTTCAACCAGTTATGTCTAATATTGATGCAAACCACCCTATTTTACACCACCCTAAACGTCGGTTTGTTTGAAAAAACAAATATACGCGATTTAAATCCGGAAAAATAGTTTCATTTCCTATGTGTAACAATCGCGAAAACCTAAGAACTCTATATTAGTAATTCAGGTTATGTAAATAAAGTCGTTCATAAATTTTCCAGGGCAGAAAGATAGAGACAACTCCTCTAGCAATGTTCGGATTCTACGTAGAGCGAGTGAAAGCTAATCTCCGTATCGTATTGGCCATGTCACCTATCGGGGATTCCTTCAGGAATAGGCTCAGGATGTTTCCGTCGCTCATTAATTGCTGTACTATCGATTGGTAAGGAATAAAGGTTTCGAATTGATCTACACATGCTAGTATGAATGCATCAAGTTTTTGAGACGTGAACCTCCCTTAATCAGACCTATCTATGCGTTTAACCCTAAGCTTCGAAAAGGTGTTGAACTATATCAACTTTACTATTTTTGGTCGTGCGTCACAGGTTCACGGCGTGGCCGACAGAGGCGCTGGAGCGTGTGGCAAACATGTTCATATCGAAGATGCAGAACGTTGACATAGACCTGTGCATGGCGTGTACAGAAGTCTGCAAGACATTCCACACCAGCGTCGTCAGTCTTAGCGATAAGTAATTACAGTCCTACCGCTTAATAAGACGGTTCCTGAGGTAGCTGCGCGAGAGGATGACGTAACAGTTATGTAATGCCAAATTGCTTGTCTATTCATTTAAATTATCAATGAAATATTTAAAAAATATATCGTTTCATGTAACAACAATTGACTAATTTGGTAGGTTTTTCAATCAACTTGTTATTGAATAAATCACTACTTTCCCTCTATGTGGTATAGCTATGAGAGAGAAGTTTTAATGACACGTCATAAATTTGAAATTAAATTAAAAATTCATTTCAAATGCAATTCCAATTGCATCGGTGTAGCACCATATGAGCGACTTTGTTTAAGTGTCGATGTCTACAGCTAAAGTCAATTTGTATTTATTGATACCCATGACATAACTTAGAAATTAAAATTATTAGCCGTCTCAGGGATTGAGTTGGTCGACCTTTCTATTAAAATTCAATCGTTTTCCCACTAGGTTACTCACAGACACTAGATATACTCGTATGTCTGTGGGGCTACCACTGCCATTAATGATGCTAATCGTATTACTAAAATTTCTCGTTTGCCATCTAGGTTTTACGCTGATCAAAAGAGAAAAGTGTACGTGACCCCAACGAGCTACCTGGAGCTGATCAAAGCTTTTCAGTCACTGTACGCCATGAAGGTCAACCAGATTACAAATATGAGAAATCGGTACGAGACTGGTCTGGAGCAGCTGGACTTTGCAGCAGGCCAAGTCGCCGTGATGCAGCAGCAGCTGATTGATTTGCAGCCACTGCTAGTGGAGACCTCGGACAAGACTGAGAAGCTAATGATCAAAATAGAACAAGATACTGTTGTCGTCGAGAAACAGAAAGAGGTAATGTAACTGACAATAGCCATATGTGATCCGCTTGTTAGCTGGAGTCCTTTCTTTTAGAAACTGCCGTTAGGCCAAAGTTTTGTGAACCCCAAGATTGTTCGTGATTCATTCTTAGTAAGTAACGGTCTGTTTCGAAAAATCAAGACGTGCATGTTTACCTATACCAATCGGCTAACGGAGTAACTTGACTGAGAATTAAGTACTGATCTGTATAATAAATAGATTCTAATTACCATAATGAATTATAATAAAATTAATTTTAATACAAAATTGATATTATAATGATAAAATTTATTAAACAAGTATATAGCGTAAATTGGAATGTTTTTTAGTAAAAATTAAAAAATAAGGTGTTCAATTAATCACTTGTTGTAACAATATTGAAAAATAGGGTGGTTTCATTAATTTTAGACATAACTGGTTGATAACTTTACCATCTCAGTTAGCCGTGACCATGGGACCTGTAAAGGGCCCAAAACGTTGGTTTGTTCGAAAAAACACGTATTACGTTACGTTACGTAACGATTAAAATAGTTTCATTTCCTATATTAACAATTGCGCGATTTGATTTTCGAAATTAACATATCCTTTAGAATGAAAGTGGCATAAGTATAAAAAAGTTTACACCATAAAACGACTTTAAAAATCATTGTTAGTAAGGTTGTAAAAAGCTAAAATTTTCATCATTATTTTCCAGGACTAACAAGGTCATTACCTTTACTTCAAAAGTAATAAGTTATTTTTGTTTTGTAATATCAAGTGACGGGACGAACAAGGCGTGTGCCTGATAGTAAGCTACCCGCCTGTCCATAACAGTTGCAGTGCCACTCGAGCTTTAAATCGCAAAGATCTGAGGGGCACTGCCACTGCGCCCGTCGCCCTGAGACATAAGTTGACAAGTCCCTTTAATTTCAACAGCACCCTTACCCTTCTAAACCGGAACGCAGTAATGCTAGCGTTACTGCTTGGCGGCGTAAATAGGTAAGGTGGCAATACTTCCCTGGACGAACTCCTTCACAAGGACCTCTACTGCTGCTAAATAGTCTGAAAATATCACAACTTCAAATCTTGTTTTTAACCGACTTTAAAAAAGGAGGAGGTTCTCAATTCGACTGTATGTTTTTTTTGTATGTGTGTTACGCGATAATTCCGGTATTTGTGAACCGATTTTGATGATTCTTTTTTTGTTGGAAATTCGGTACCTCAATAGTGTTCCCATTTAATTTTGAAGAAAATCACCACCTCTAGGGTGGCTGTTCACGCATGAAGATACATTTTTAAAAATAGCGCCTAAATTTTATTATAAGGAGCAATTATTTTAATGTAGGAAATGAAACTATTTAAATCGCGTATATTTGTTTTTTCAAACAAACCGACGTTTCGGGCCGTTTACAGGTCCCATGGTCACGGTTGACTGAGGTGGTACAGTCTTCAATCAGTTATGTCTAATATTGACGCAAACCACCCTATTTTTTCACTATAGTTACAATAGTTATTAATTAAATACCTTATTTTTAATTTTACAAAGAAAACATTCCAATTTACGCTATATTAAGTTTTACAAATTATTTTATTGAATGAATTTTTATTAAGTTCAATTTATTATTAATTATTAATAGAAATTAGAATAAGCTAGAACATATTAATTAGTACTGCAGTCTTATGTCTGTTTGGGATTTTTCATTAGAGGAAATACTGGATCCCAGACTGGTGGTACGGAGAAACCATCTTCCCTGTTGAAATTAGGATGTTTTTTAATTTCAATGGCCTCTCGCAGCATCCTGGGTAGATGCGTTGTTGTTTGAAAAAACAAATATACGCGATTTAAATCCGGAAAAATAGTTTCATTTCCTAAGTGTAACAATCGCGAAAACCTAAGAACTTGAATTATGTTGTTAATGGTTGTTAATTAATTAATGGTTGATTTTGCTATTTTCCAATTCAAGGCGTTTTTCTCGCTCAATATACTTTGAGTAGTGAGAACCGATTTTTATTATTTCCTATGTCAAGTTCCATATATTGGCGAACTAGGGGATGAATTGGGGTTTGCGCACTTTCCGGTAACCGATTTCAATAAAACTTGGCAATTATATGTTACTTGGTAATTCCACGTACTTTTGAGGTCGGTTTTTTTAGTACTCTACTGAGATTATATTGTGCATATTCTGAAAATAATTAAATTTTGTGTTTTGGTCACTTTCATTCTAAAGGTGCAATTATGTACTAATGTAAATAAAAAAGCAACACTGTATCTGAAGATATTTCATTGTTAGACATGTTACCTGGTCGGCCTTCAAAATCGAAGTTACAAGCGACACGTCTACATGTAGCACGTACTAATTTCTGTACTGTTATTGCTTCTAGTTTCAATTCTCTCTTCTGCAATCACTGTGAAAAGTCTATCCTTTTTCCAGATTGTAGGTGCAGACGAAGCACTGGCAAACGAAGCAGCTGCCGCTGCTCAAGCCATCAAAGACGACTGCGAATCAGATTTGGCAGAGGCTGTCCCTGCCCTGGAAGCGGCTCTGGATGCCTTGAACACCTTGAAACCTGCTGATATCACTCTCGTGAAGAGTATGAAAAACCCTCCGTCTGGAGTCAAGCTGGTGATGGAAGCAGTATGCGTCATGAAGGGCATTAAGGGTGATAGGAAGATGGATGCCAACGGTAAGGTTTAATTTTTTTTATAATATCAAGTGATGGGACGAACGAGTTGTGCACCTGGTGGTAAGCGACACGCCCATCCATAACAGTTGCACTCCCACTCAGAGCTTTAAATCGCAAAGATCTGAGATAAGTTGACAAGTCCCATGTGCCTGTAATTTCACAAGCACCCTTACCCTTCAAAACCGGAACGCAGTAATGTTCACATTATAGCTTGGCGACAGAAATAGTTATAGCGACATCACTTCCCTGGATGAACTCTCATAAAGAGCTGTACTGCTACAAGTAAGCACTTGTATGTTTGTGTATGTGAACTGTGTAAGGCAAGTGCAATATTACACAATAATATTGTCTGCACAAGTGACTAGGCTTACTTGAGCGAAGCTCGGCCACGTAGCCGATCCTTTACGGATTTATCCCCCAGGCAAACCGTTTGAGGACTTCTGGGGTCCGTCACAGAAGATGCTCGGCGACATGAAGTTCCTTGAGAGCCTCAAGAACTATGACAAGGATAATATTCCGCCTGCGACTATGAAGAAGATACGCGACAAGTAATTTAATTATTGCTCTATTATTATAGTGTGCTCGGTGCTCGTATAATCTCTGTGCACAGTACTAAAAAACCGACCTCAAAAGTACGTGAAATCCCCTAGTTTGCCACCCTTAGAGGTGGAATATTTTCTTCAAACTGAAATGTGATCAGTGCTGAGGTATCTTATTTCCAATAAAAAAAAACAAAAATCATAATCAGTTCACAAATACCGGAATTAACGCGTAACATACGCATAAAAAAAATATACCCGAAATTGAGAACTCCTTTTTTAGGTCGGTTAAAAAAAATAAAATGCGAGTAGTGTAAATATTTTATAATAGAGATTCAATTGCCATGGAAGGGTCTTCCATTGAGTCGGTATTGAAGCATTTGCAATTTTCTAATTATGGCTCTAATGACAAAGGAAAACAGTGTACTTGCTTTAATGCTAACGTTAATAGTACGTTGTGTAAAGGGGGGAAATAAGGAATTACTAACAAGAGTTTGTTCCCGGGTTCGATTCCTGGGCCGGGAGAAATATTTATAAGGCCTACGTTTGTTTCTCTCGTGAGTTTGGGTGTAATTTGTGGTGTCCATGGTGCTCAGCTATAAGTGTATTTTAAAATAAATATTGTAAATGATGAATCTGAAAATCATCCGCAGATCATTTTAACATTTAATTGTCAAGTGTTTTGTTACTTTTTCAAATCCAAAAGTCGTTGGGAAAAATTTGTCGTTGCCACAGCAATTTCGACGATGCTAATGTGCTCTATGTGCTTTCCAAAAAACCCTAAGTAACTTGAATGTAATTTGTCTATCAGATATATTCCTGACCGCGACTTTGATCCGGTGGTGATAGCAAAGATATCGTCTGCCTGTGAAGGTCTTTGTAAGTGGGTGCGAGCCATGGACGTCTACGATAGAGTCATTAGGGTGCGTATGAATATATTTATTTAAATAGATCGTTGTTGAAATGTAGAATCGTGGCACAAAAAAATCGTTGTTATATACCAGATTACCATATTTACGGAGGGTTGCACAGAGTTCATCCTGTTCTCAAAAGTCTAGTGCCTCGGAAGAGCGGCCCAGGTACACGTACAGCACCCTCCCTATTTTCTAGATAGGTAGCGAAGTTGTTGGCACGCTCAGTTCCCGTTATGCATTGCCCAACTAACGGTTGCAACTAATACCAACTCTCCTCGTTGGCAACGGAGCTGCCGGGACGCTCACTTATAGGCGCTTCTCCGTGCGTCTATCCAGTTCCTATTATTATTATATGTTGGATCAACCGGAGGATATCCTCTACAAGTTATCCGGGCAAATACCGGTGATGTCAGTCGAAGTGTCCTGCAACTGTTTCCGGAGATAGCTGTGACGGTGTGACCTCCTTATACCGTCTTCCCACCTTTTTGTATCGCCTCTCTCCATTCGTATCGTATCGTTTTTTCTTCTTCTACTCATATTTAAATTTAAAATTGTTCCATTTTACCTCGCATTCTGATTTTGATTCTTTCCATCGTCACTCTCTGCGCGACCGCGGTAGCGAACATACTATTATTTATCTTTTTGAATCGTTTACTAGCTATATTTATACAGTTTACATTTTAAAGATTACAATATATTTGTTTAAACCGATTTAATACCTATAAACTGGACTTTCAATGTTTGAATTGCCAAATTTACTAAATAAGATGTTGGAGGCTGCGGGGGCTGCGAAGGCTGTTACTGCTACCCTTGGACTACACTATTACAATCTACCAGAACGCCACCGGCACCAGCAGCACCTCCACATAGCTTCCAACTTAAAGGGCAACTCACTTGCCCCGCACGTCCTTTCGCGTTAGGCCTTCGTCCAAATTGCTAAGACGTGCTAACTGCACGCGAGACGGACGCCCCGGCCACACATTATCGGAGCAGCCCATCACAAGCCCCAGCGAATCCATACCCAGAGTCCGGGTCTACACGAGATGCCCGTGAAGGCGTACCATTGGCGGAGGGCTTAGCCTGGACGCCTGCCGTAGCCTGATCTTACCGGGTAGGTAGGGATCCGGATACCTCTATCTATTTTAGTAAGAAAACTAGTAAATTATAATTGTTAATATAAAATAAAAAATATATAATTATAAAAATCTGTATTTCCCGAAAAGTACAATTTGGGGCTATTCAAGGCTAGAGTGAATAGGCATTTTTTAGGCAAACGCGTCCCATCGTCGGTCACATCGTCGCTTAACATCAGGTGAGATTGTGGCCAAGCGTGTGTCTATTATATATATAAAAAAAAAACATTGGTGCAAAAGATCAATTGTCTATTTCAAATATTTCGAAGATAAACCTTGTATTTTTTCTTACCGCCTACGTTGTGCTGTCTTCTAGGTGGTAGCCCCGAAGAAAGCGGCTTTACTGGAGGCAGAGACCGAGCTTCAACAACAGATGAACACGCTGAACGCCAAGCGAGCCCAGCTCCAGGGTGTCCTCGACAAGTTGCAGGTGTGTACCGTGGAGACTTATTTTAAGTAGTTATTTGTTTATGCAAGGCTGCAAAGTTGTTGTTTGACGCGAGGGCTTAGGGTTTCAAGGCACGAGTCGCAAAAAAACTTTGCTGCCGAGCGAAACACACTTTTCACAACTTATGGATACACTTTTCACAACTTACGGATATTTCCATTTTTTGTTTTTGGTTTTAAACGACGTTTTTGCCGTAGCGCCATCTGTGAGAAATTTATTTCTTCACTCAGAGAGGTACCTTTACAGCTACCAGCGGGTGTCTAGAGATGTCACTTTAATCATTGTCATTTTTAAGTTTATTGAATGTCACGATGTTTGACCATCATGATATTCGATTATTAGTTGTGCATAATATGTAGAAGCGGTGTCTACCTCTCGTTAACAGTGAAGGAAAATATGCGAAGTCAATTTAAATTCAAACTCAAACTTAACTAGCATGTGTGACAAAATATTCGCCTTTTTTTATTATATCAAGTGACGAACAAGTCGTTGTAAGCGACACGCCCGTCCACAGTAGTTGCAGTGCCACTCAGAGCTTTAAATCGCAACATCTGAGGGGCACTGCCACCGCGCCCGTCACCCTGAGACATAACTTGACAAGTCCCATGTGTCGAGTTCTTAGGTCGCGATTGTTACACATACGAAATGAAACTAAAAAATATTAAATAAAAAGGTTTGTTTCAAAAAACAAATATACGCGATTTAAATCCGGAATGATGTGCTTGTAATTTCACCAGCACCTGTCGCTACGCCTAAGGTTCAATCATAATGTAAATTACATATGCGACATTCTTTCAAACATATGTATATAACAACCTTTCAATAAAGTATCTTTCTTCATGTACACTTCTTCTAACTCCATTCTACTTCATAGGACTACTATAATTGTCCTAACCGGTCCTTGACCTTATATCGATCCTCAGGAACTGAACTAGTGGGATCCTCTGATCCCTATGATGGGCCTCCACACACACCCTGTAGGGGTGTTTTTGTAGGGGGCCCTTTCTCTGCCACCGCTTCATGCCCCCTTATACCTTCAGTACAAGTGGCGGACTCATTCTAATTCTGTTACTGATTCGTCATACTCTATCTTCAGGCTGTCTAGTCAACAAATACTGTATCTACGTTAGTAATAAACATTGTGCAAACTTACCAACTGTAGTGCCGACCAACCAGTGCACTACCAGCAGATGCCTGATATCTCACCTTCATTTGAGATGCCTGTACTGCCGTGTTAGTTCCCTACTTTTACAGACTAAATTTATTAATGCTTGATATTACAAAACTTATACTAAATCGCGACATAATTCGCGACAGCACCCTTACCCTTCCAAACCGGATCGCAGTAATGCTCACATTACTGCTTGGCGGCAGAAATAGGTAAGGTGGCAGTACTTCCCTGGACGAACCTTTTCACAAGGAGCTCTACTGATACTGATCTTTTTTTGTGTGTATATTATGCGATTACGTACCCTGTGTACCTCAATATTAGCCCTATTTAAATTTGATGAAAATATTCCACCTCTAAGACTGGCAAACTAGGGGATGAATCCGGTTTCGCGCACTTTCCGGTAACCAACTGACTTTGTAATTTTAGTATGTACGTACTTTGAGCAAACTTTGAAGTCGGTTCCCTTTTTTATTTATTTATTTATATATTATCCTCCAAGGATTTTTTCATCCAAGTACACAGGTTAATGGCGACCCAAGAGGTCAGGTTATTGAGAACTTGAAAAAACATCTGGTAGCCTTGAATATATACAACAGCAATAAAAATTGACAACGCATTTAATTATCGTAAACTTTATCCAGGCACTGAACGACGAATTCGCAGAAATGACTCGCAAGAAAAAGGGTCTCGAAGATGAGATCGAGCTATGTTCGACGAAGTTAACTCGAGCCGAACAGCTGATCGGCGGCCTGGGCGGGGAGAAGACCCGTTGGACGCAGTTAGCGCATGACTTGCAGGAGGAACTCGGGAACATTATCGGTATACCATTATACTTGCATACAAGTTCACGTAGATAATACAGCGAATGCTACATAATATGAACATCAGTTAGTACGAAAAATATCCAGAAAAATATTTATTTTTCTGAATTTTTTTTTATCACACGAATGTCATAAAAATAATATAGTCTATCTTTTTTGAAGATGGAGTAAAATGACAGTTCATTGCGCAAAAGTGTTGCCCGCTTGCAAGTTGCTAGTGATTGTAGTCGACGAACATTATATCGACTATCGACAGAATGTTGGTTACGCTTATGAAATAAATAAGCGAATTTGTTTCATTTGAATCATTGTCGGCCCATTTTCCTCAACTGCTAATAGGTTCATTTGAATTGTTAACTTTTGAAAATTCATACATATACTAAAGAAGGATGGCGACATCTCGTGTATTTTGTGACCCAGTGTTTTTGACGATAAAGCATCAAAAAAGCTAATTGAGTCAGCCTGTAGAAGCTGGCTGGAATAAACTTGATATAGGTTATGTTTATAACATTGTACTGTATACCGCTTCAAATGTTTGTTCATAGTAACAGAAAATAACAAGTTTTCAGTTTGTTCCTAAAAATAATAAAGAATTTGCTGAATATTCCTAACTCTGCCAAAGTCTGGCACATGTAATATAATGTTAACATGTTCTGTCGCAATGAAAATGAATAAAAATTAAATCTGCCCAAATGGCAGAAACTGCCACAAATGGTAACACTGTTCTCAATCTCAACGTGACATTGATATTGGCAAGACGCCTCTTGTCAAAACGTTCCTTTGCTAACTTTCATATATCTCATTTAAATATTGTCTAAACATTTATGTCACATTGTTTTATTTTTTACTTTATGTGTTTATTGTTTAATTGATTATTTGATTAGGTGTTTTATAGCTTTCATGTTTTATGTGTGTACTATAAAGTAACCAATACTTCAGATAGGTAAACATTCAATCATGCTTAAAATGAAACGTGTGTATAAGAACGTTACCTAATCTATGATCGCACTGTATTCTTGCATTTATTCTAAAATACATTGTTTTGCAATTTCTTTATTCCCGACCTCTAAAAATATACAATAATACATTAATAACTATGCATAAACTGAAACGTAAAATTATACTAGCAAAGTCCGTGTACGGCACTTTGTTGATATTGGGTCAGCTTTCGTCATTCTTCTTTAGCAGTATGTGTATAAAAATACAAACAGGAGACAAATTTTAAAGTGTTTCATTTGAATATAATATACATAATTAAATCCGCCTGTTTTTATAAAAATGTGTATGACTGAAAATTGATTTCAGTACTAATAGACCAAGTGTTAAAATAAGAATAACGAATACAATAACGTAATTACTAATCATTATAACATTCACAATGCAGACATTTTTAGCAAAGTTTTACCTACTTTCACAATCTATCGATAAAACTGTCGACAACAACTGTTACTACATGACTAGTGAAAATTTTACGAAAACTGGCAACCTTGTAAATGTCATTTTACGCCATCTTCAAAAAGACGGGTTATATATGATATAAATTATGTTAAATTTTATAACTTCCCCATTTAAGCGTGAAAAAGTTATCGATACACTTCGTTCTCTCCTGGAAAGTTGACATTTTGCAGATGTGATCTTGTTAGACAACAAGGGTGCCGTTTTATTAAAAACATACATTTAGAGTCATTATTAATGTATATTGACCTACCGCCTTTCAAGCAGAGGCCTTGGGTTCGAATCCTGCCTCACACTCTAGAGTTTCTCGGAATTTATGTGCAAAATTTAATTTGAAATTTACCATGAGCCGTAAAAACGTCGCAATAAAACTGCACGTCGAAGAAGGTTTACATCTCTCGGAAAATGTGTGAAGTCCTAAACCCGCATTGGGCCAGCGTGGCGGACTATCGCCTAAACTTGCGCTTCATAGGAGACCCGTGCACGGCAGTGGGATGTATAATAAATGTTCAATTGAATGTTGTATTCATGGGTCATTACCGTTATATTCCAATTTTAACGGGCTAAAAATATGTCCAACCGGTCAGATCGAGCGAGCTCATTTTATTCCCAATAGCGTCCTGAGCCGAGATCCCCCTCCCGAGCCGAGAGCGCCCTCAGCTACGCCACTTAGTTTTAGTTTATTTTACGGGTTATAAGCCTTCAGCTCGTCCATTCTCCTGGTCTCGCAGTCAAGGTCATCAGCGGCCAAGCAAGTGTAGGTCTCAAACAAAAAAGAGCGAGCTCATTTTCACAACAACACAACAATCAACAACGCTTGAGGTTGCTATGTGGAGAGGTGAAACACATGCCGGGTATGTTATTGGTGGTGAAATCTGTGACTACAGTCACACAGTTGCGCTTGCGTTATTTTTGCAGCAGTACAACTCGTGACATAGTTTGTCCAGGGAAGTACTGCCACCTTACCTATTTCTGCCGCCAAGCAGTAATGTTAGCATTACTGCGTTCCGGTTTTGAAGGGTAAGGATGCTAGTGAAATTACAGGTACATGGGACTTGTCAACGTATGTTTCAGACGGGCGCAACTGCAACTGTTATGGACAGGCGTGTTGCTTAGTATCGGACGCACGACTCGTTCGTCCCGTCACTTGATATTATAGAAAATATGTATTTATTTTATACCGAGAGAGGGTGGTAAAATTACTGCATTAATAAAAAAAACTCTGCTCAAGCGATTTTGCACGTTTTTACCTTCGCTGACTTCGCAGAGTGGCGAATGAATTTACTTCCATTTTTAGGGGAAAATTGGTGCTTATAGAGTATATCAGCTGACTAAAATAAAATTTGTTATAATTATTAATACAAAGATCGAACACTCGGAAAAAACACTCAGAAAAAATTCCTTCGATCCGGTCGGATTCGAACCGACGTCTTCTTGCATACCGTGCCAGACGCTATACCAACTAAGCCACGGAACGACCCAACGGATCTCACGAATTTTTCTATGTGCTTGCGTCGTGTCTTTGTACTTGGTCTTTCAACGACTTTTTAGTCGTAGCGCCATCTATGAGAAATCTATGACAGATTTATCGCAATGTATTAATAATTATAACAAACTAGTGATTTCACAAAAAATAATTGAATATCAATTCAATAAAAATTTAATTAAAATAAAATTCTCAAAAATTTCCAGGTGATGTGTTGTTAGCTGCCGGGTTCATTGCGTACCTTGGGCCGTACTCTGTCGTATACCGTCGAGAGGTACTGCAGATTTGGAACGAACGGGCCGTGGAACTCGGTAGGCACATTGTAATTAGCAAATAATCTGAATTGGGCATAAAGTTTATTAGTTCAAATTACGTCGTTAGGATCGTAATTGGGTCAACTAACTTTATTAATAAGTGATTCTGAAGTAGACATCAAAGATTTAAAGAGTTCGTCCAGGGAAGTACTGCCACCTTTTTTAAATCGGAACGCAGTAATGCTCACATTACTGCGTTTCGGTGCTGAAATTACAGGCACGTGGTACTTGTCAAATGTCTCAGGGTGACGGGTGCAGTGGCAGTGCCCCTCAGACCGTTGCGATTTAAAGCTCTGAGTGGCACTGCAACGTATTAAACAAAAAGAGAATTAATAATAAAAAAAAAATTTAATAAACAATAAATATCACTCAGAAATTACGCTACGTCTTAGAAACGTTAAATCTCAATGTCTTAGCCAAATGAATGAATGATATCATTCATTACATTAAAACAGCAGAGTTTTGAAATGCGTCTAGATATTTGAGTGATATCTCAGCCGATATGCGCTTATGGCGAGGTATTATAACGGGAAGGCTCCCGTTATAAATACCTCACACCTCACCTCCAAAAATGTAGGCACATTTTAGGAGGTGAGGTGTGAGGGACCGCTCCTCGCGTTCCGCAACCCGTGTGCTGAAAATGAATCAAAATAAGAACAGGACGAGAAAATTTGACACAGATCTTACGTTGACGGGGCAATCTATTTCAAGTTTTTGAATAAATGTGAATTTAATAACTACAGGGCTTTAGTTGAAAAAAATTTGCAGCACAATTTAGCAGGATTTCTGTAGTACATCAAGAGAAATATCTCCATACAAATTTATGCTAAGTTGATGCTTGTCCGTAGGCAGCCAGGCAGGTTTCCTTCCTTTATTTTATTTTAAGGTATTGTAGTAGATGGTTGTATGGTCTTCAATGAATTATTTTTAATTAAATTTGACTGATGTATTTATTTTTAAAATGTATGAAAAAGAACAAAGTACAATGCGTATGGTTATGAGATATGTCGTCGAATGATGACCCTTGATTCCCCTCGCGCCGCTCGCCTCCCCCCGTCCCTCCGCCCGTCGTTCGAGTTGGATCGCGCTGCCGCTTGATGGCGTTACGCGTTAACAGTGCCCAGGGAAAATATTTTATTCTTAAATAATTCGTTGTAGAGTTTTATTTTAGCCTGTTTTCAGGATTTTATTTGATCGGGTGAAGTACATCGTACCGTGTAACGAATTAGCACATTTTTAAATAACCTTCTTAGGTGTATCGTATATTTTTTGTAAGCACGTTATTTAATAGTAAATGTGACTCGCATGTGAATCATAATTAGATGTCCAAAATGTAAACAAAGGAATGTGATGAAAAATGTCTTTGTCAATGTGTGAATGCAGGTGTGCTAAACCTTCCATTTTTAACGAAACTGAAAATTGAGGTTTTCATTTTCATCAATTTTAATTACCATTACAAAATATTAACAACAAACCAAAACTTTAACAACAACACATAATAATTCAACAAACGCACTACGGGATACAAGAAAACATTCGAGTTCGACCACGAATGTCATCTATGACACGACAAAATGGCGGAACAAAAAATGTTTTTATTCCCAACACCAGTGTCATAAAGTTATTTGCGACTTTAACATCCCCTAATTTTAAGGTTATCCCCTTTGTTTGCCTTTTCGATGTCTAATTACGTGTCATACTATTGGACCTGTTTACAACATGGGTTTCGTTGGTTTCTTATTAACTGAACCGGTTTTTTCTGTTGTACAAGGTTTGCTTGTAATATTAAAAAATAACACACAGAAAAGTGCCTTTTAAGGTTTCCTGCTAGACTTGCCCTTTTCTTTTACAATCACACAAATATTTTTCAGAAATTCCTTGTTCAAAATCGTTCTCGCTTATAACGACTCTTGGAGAGCCAGTGGTGATACGAGCGTGGAATATCGCCGGTCTGCCTGTGGATGCGTTCTCGATTGAGAATGGTATTATCGTCGCACAGGCTCGAAGATGGCCACTTATGATTGATCCTCAAGGTCAGTTTTTAACTGTACTATTACTAGCTTTCCATCATTGACTCATCAACAAATGGACGTCGGGTCTAATACAAAAAGCACTAAATAAATATCTGAAGTTAACTTATATAAACGTAGTGACATGTAACGAAATATAAAAAAACTAAAAATTTCATTTCAATTGTAACATCATTGTATTATTGCTTCATTTTGCTTGCAATAATTTATGAGCCCAAAACACCGTATTCAGCTTCTATTGGAAATTTAACAAAATGCACCATATATTTAGCTTCGAGTGAAAATTACTTGGACACAAGAGTAATGGAGCAGCCTTTACTGTAATTTATAATTTTAAAATATTTAAACCAGTTTGTATTTTTTTTTTAATACTATACAACAGTACAAAATAACACTTTCAAAAATGATAACTATGATAACACAAAATATTTTTTTTAGTGAAAATATGATATAAAATCCTGTTTTTTCACTTCACTTGAGTAATTTTTACAAGTTTTCATTCTATAATACTGCACTACTTTATTGGTAGGTCAATGCTGTCGGTGGTATCATAAAAAGTCATAGAAACTGGTGAACTATAGGATTTTAATTTTCACTCTGATATTGCGATTGGCTTTTAAGTTACTTGGGTACGGGGCAGGTCGAAAGTACCCATAACAGTTGACCATGTATGTGGGGAACAGGAGGACTTCAATTATGACCACAAATTGTGAAAAAAAATATTTTATTTGTTAAATGCCTTTTGCATAAAAAAAAACAAGAATCTTAAATTTTTATAGAATTGATATTCAATTATTTTTTGTGAAATTACTCCACTAGTTTGTTATAATTATTAATACATAGATCGAACACTCAGAAAAAATTCCTTCGATCCGGTCGGATTCGAACCGACGTCTTCTTGCATACCGTGGCAGACGCTATACCAACTAAGCCACGGAATGAACCAACGGAGGATTTTTTTCTGAGTGTTCGATCTTTGTATTAATAATTATAACAAACTAGTGGAGTAATTTCACAAAAAATAATTGAATATCAATCATTGACTTACAATTATATGGACGT